AGTGTAAGACATGAAAAAAAATAATAATTTATAAGTTATCAGGGGTTTGGGAGGGAGGGAGGATGAGGGAAGGAGGGGGGAAAATTGAGGAGCTGATACCAAGGGCTCAAGTGGAAAGAAAATGTTTTGAGAATGATGAGGGCAACCAATGTACAAATGTGCTTGGCACAATGGATCTATGTATGGGTTGTGATAAGAGTTGTACGAGAAAAAGTTGATAAGAGTTGATTGAGAAAAAAAAAGTTCATATTTGTACCCATTCCAAAAAAAGGTGACCCAACAGAATGTGATTATCTCACAGTACCCTTTCTATCACATGCAAGTACCATTTTACTGTGAACAATGTTTACAGCAGTACATGTACTGCCAGAAATTTAAGCTGAATTTGGAAGAGGACATTGAACAAGTGATATCATTGTCAATGTCAGCTGGATCTTGGCCGAAAGCAGAGAATAGCCAGAAGATGTCTACTTGTGTTTTATTGACTATACAAAGGCATTCAACTGTGTGCATCATAAAAAAAAAGCATGGGCTGCATTAAGAATAATTGGAATTCCAAAACTTCATTTTGCTCATGTGGAATCGGTGCATGAACTAAGACACAGTTGCTCAAGCAGAACAAAAGGTTATTGTGTGGTTTAAAATCAAGGAAGTTGTGCATCGGTGTTTTTATCCATTCACTGTGCTCATTTTATCTATGCTGAACAAATAATACAAGAAACAACGATGTGAAGAATGTGGCCAAGTCCTTGAATCAATAGACAATATAATGAATCAATCGACAATATCATGAAAAGGAGAGAAAAGATTAAAGTTGTCAAGAACTTGACAACAGTGCTCATGGAAGCAGCAGCCAAACATTGCTTAGGGAAATTCTGCACACGACCTCTTTACAGTGTTAAAGAGCAAGGATGTCACCTTGAGCCCTGAGGTGTGTCTGACCCGAGACATGGTATTGACAACTGCCTCGTGAGCGGGAAAGTTGCACAATGAGTAAGGAAGACCACAGACAGAATGCTTGATGCGTTTGAATTAGGGTGTGACAAAGAGCATTGAAAGTATGGTGGGCTGCTAGAAGAGTAAGCCCACCTGTCTTGAAAGAAGTACACCTAGACCACTTCTTAGAGTGGAGGAGGGCACGACTTTGCCTGGCGCATTTTGAACATGTTACCAAAAGAGACCAGCCCCTGGAAAGGGGCATCATACTTGGTAAAATCGAGGGTCTACAAAAAAAGAGGAAGACTCTCAACAAGAAGGATGGACACAGTGGCTGAGACAGTGGGCTCAAAGCCGAGTGTGGGAACCGGCAGTGTTTCCTTCTGTTCTACATAGGGTCTCCGAGTCCTAATCAACTGGATAGTACCTTGCAGTTGCGCAGTAGGTTGTCCAGGGAGCTGTATTTCCAAATACCATGACAGACATGTGAGTAACTCCAGCACCGCATCCACTTGCGCAAGCATCTTGATTGATACCCATTCAATTCCCGGAGCCTTGGTTTTCGCCAGTGCCTTCAGTGCAGCTTGGACATCTTCCTAAAGTACTGTCGGCTCTTGGTCCTGTTCTGCCGCTAAAAATGGTGGTATATTGACTAATTACACAGCCCAACCACAAAAATTATTAGTGTCTTGGTTTTTAAGCCTGTTCCCGTGATTATTTGGGACTCTGGTTCCAAAATCCGCATGATAGTCCACATCAGCCCTAGTTTCTTGTGTCCAATGACTGGAAAGTTTTCATCAGAAGTAGGTTTTCATGTAGTACACTTTTCATTTTTAATATGTCTCCGTCATGTTTAGGAGCCCTGGTGGCATAGTGGTTACACTTGGGGCTACAATCCACAAGGTCAGCAGTTCTAAACCACCAGCTGCTCCAAGGGAGAAAGATGGGGCTTTCTACTCCCATAGAGAGTTCCAGCAGGCTCAGAAATCCACAGAGGCAGTTCTGCCTTGCCCTATGCAGTCATCATGAGGCAGGAGTGCGTTTGCTTTGGTTTGGGTTCCTTCATGTTTAAAGATATCAGTTGAAACACTACATTAAGATATCCTGTTTTGTTTTTTATGGGTGAGCAGAGTGAAGAGTGGTATATGGCATAATGTTCTGTATCTCAGCAAGTCAAGTATATCCAGAAACAGGGCTGACGGTTGAGGCACCAAAATGTGTGTTCGCCAGTGTTTTTATGGCACATAAAACTGTATTTGTCCCGTCTTCATTTGATGCTCTTTGTGTTGCTTCTTATTTTACCCACAGGTTCCTTCAGTGTTGTAGCTGGAGGGTTGAGTATTTTCTTCATTTTTCTCAGCTTGTGCAATACAGAGGTGGTTCTTTCCCCCTCCAGGTTTGCATATTTCATTATAATAATTTACTTTATCATCTCGGGTCACTCTTTGAAATCTTCTATCGAGCTCTTTTATTTCATTGTTCTACTTGTTTTAGCTAGCCTGTGTGCAAAAGTGAGTTTCAAAGTCTCTTATGACATCTATTCTGGTCTTTCCTTTAAGGTTTTTGTTTGTTTTAAATACTTTTATTGGGGCTCTTACATCTCTTACCAAATCCATACATTCATCCAGTGTGTCAAGCACATTTGCACATAGGCTGCCATCATTTTCAAAGCATTCTATTTCCACCTGAGCCCCTGATATCAGCTCCCCATTTCTTCCCCCTCCCTCCCCTGCCTGCCTGCTCTCATGAACCCTTGATAAGTTATAGTTTATTGTTTTCATATATTACATCATCCTGTCATCCCTCACCCACTTTTCTTTTCTCCCCCCACCCTCCCCTAATCCTCCTGGTATCTCTTCTCTCCTTGTTGGCCCTGAGGGGTTTATCTATCCTGGATTCCCTGTGTTGTGGGCTCTTATCTGTAGCAGTGTGCATGTTCTGGTCTAATCCGATTTGTAAGGTAGAATTGAGGTCTGATAGTGGGGGGAAGGAAGCACCAAAGAACTAGAGGAAAGTTGTGTGTTTCATCGGTGCTATACTGCACCCTGACTGGCTCATCTCTTCCTTGCGACCCCTTTGTGAGGAGATGTCCAATTGTTTACAGATAGGCATTGGGTCTCCACTCCATGCCCCTCACCTCCCACCCCATACACATTGGGTATGATTTTGTTCTGGGTCTTAGATGCCTGATACCTAACCCATCGACACCTCGTGATCACATGGGCTGGTGTGCTTCTTCCTTGTGGGCTTTGTTGCTTCTGTTGCCTTTTGTTATATGAAGAATAAAACTGTAATTGGTTGCAGTCAAGCAGTGGAGAGTTTTTTCTTCATTTTGTGAGTTACAGTGCAGTCAGTGATGAAGTGAATTAATGAAGGGATGAGGCTGGTGCTGTACATACCCTACAGCAGACCCGGTGAATACAAACCCTTGTTTCAAATCCCTATAAATTCTCACCTCCCAGGACTGCCAGCCTCATTCGTAGTTCTTCAACACATTGGAGTACATGATACCGTGTTGATCAGAATGTATGTCATGTTCTAGGACTCAATGGTCGTTGAGGATGTGACTGTGGTCTTCAGCCAGGAGGAGTGGGCTTTGCTGGATCTCGCTCAGAGGAAACTCTACAACGATGTGATGATGGAAACCTTCAGAAATCTGACCTCAGTAGGTAAGAATGACTTTTTTTTCCATTCGTTTATCCAAAATGTCTTACTCATACAGTTTGCTCTAGTATTTGGACTGAGAAATGGGAATATGTTGTTAAGCCCGACAGGCATGGTCCTGTGGGCTATCACATGCTTTACCTCCTAGCTTCCCCGTGAACATAAAGCTCTCAGTGATAAAGTGAGTTTTCATTTCTCCTGTGAGGAAAAGCCCCAAGACACTCAGTGAGGTCAGTGTAAGCATTGACTTCAGGTGTCACTTTGAGGCACTGAGAGATTTGTGTTTGGGGACACTGTAGAAGTCTTTACTGTGTGCAGTGTGAGTTCGACATGGCTCCTATGCTTAGAGCAAAGTATTGGCTCACCTTCAGAGAGATGCTCATTGCTCTGCACTGTCTTCCTCTTGATAACCCGCTTCCTCGAGCACCACACGAGCTATACCCATTCGTTTTCTGAGCCACAAGGCCAGTGATTAGAAATCACATGTGGCTCTGTCATGTCGCAAGATTTTGAGGACACAGCTTCACAGATACTTGAGCTTTAGTTTTCCCGCTTTAGCAATCCTCACACCAGTGGCCACAAACACCACCATCTTCTAATGTTGCATGCGTATTGTGTCCAGCGTCCATTTTTCTTAGCTTCCTAATTACGCCTACTTGTGTCAGCTCATTCCAGTTCCTCACTGCACCTATTGACGCCACCCTCCCTCTCAGTCCTCCTGGCTGTGTTTTCAAGTCAATGGCAATTGAACCATCACCGAAACGCTGAAGTAGTGCAATGTGGATAAACCATCTTTGTTCACAACAGCTTTTTACTCCTTGATAATGTCTTTCTCTCTCCCCCACCCCCACCCCAAATTATGAACCTCAACTTGAATTACTGGGCCAGTCTCACAAAACCTTAATGATGAAGAAAAGTTATCCAGTGAGCACGAAATGGTACAATTCATGAAAAATAGCGCCTGGTCCTCAAAGTTGGGAGAAACCTTTGTGTCACATGACAATAAAGATCAGCATAAAAACCAGAAGAGACATTTGAGGTGAGTGACATTCATACAAAAGAAAACTGTACCTTTGGAAAAAGTCCAAATTTGTCATGACTATAGTGTGTGTGTGTGTGTGTGTGTGTGTGGTGTATTTTCATGTACAAAGCTAAGTACATCAAATTGTAACTAAAGCGCCAGTTTATACAGGCACATGATTATTCGATGCAAAAGATATTGAACTTGTTTTTTAATGGAGAACTACACGGTCGAGGAAAAGGCCAGGAAAGTCGTACCAAGGAGTTCTCGTCACAGCACTGCACCTACTCCTTCTTCTGTCCCATAAGAATTGTATCAGGAAACCTTACCCCATCCACGCTACAGCCCTGCTCTTGCTCCTTCAGACTTAACTGTTCTGGAACCTTAAATAATACTTTTTAAAAACACGAATAGAGTCCCTCGAGAATGTCAAAACTACCACTTTGACACGAGGTGCCAAAGGTGCAGTTTTTCAGGGAAAGGCTGGAGAAATGGAGCATCTCCTTCCAAAGTATGTACAGCTAAGCAGTGTGGGAAGTGTGAGGGCAGGTCATCTAGAGAAACAAGTCAGTGACACCCATAGATGTATGAGAAAGAGCTTTATATCAAGAAGTAATCTTTAGAAGGCATCCCAACCAGGTCCAGTGCAAGCCAGGGCCCTCTTCAGATTCGCATACCTCTCAGGGTCGGGCGCCCCACAAAGGCAGAAAGAAAGAGTCCCAACAAGCAGGAAGGTAAAGGAAAGGGGCCGGTGGGGGTGGTGTTGAAGTCCCCCATTTCTGCCTACACATCCCCAAGGAGCCATCAGGCTGTGACCCGATGGGGAGATTGGAGACCACCCCTGCATTTTCATGTAAATTCAGGTTCACATAAAATCACCCAGCTGCCACAGGGCATGTGTCAACAAATGGTAGCTTCACATGATCATGTTTTCGCTGAATGAAGGCTGCCAATTTTGTGGCAAAACTTTTTGGCTTACCCTCATACATGTCTCTGTTTATGCTTGGTAAAGTAGACATTTAGTGAAAAAGAAGATCTTTAACATAATTTATGGACACAGTGTCTTCAACAGTGAACTCAAGCATAGCTTCAACTATAAAGATGTTGCATGCCTGGGCAATGTTTCATTTGTTGTGCGTGGAAATGCCATGAGGTGGGATTCATTCAGTGGCACCTGTTAACTATGTAGTGTTTTCTGTCCAGAGATATAATATGGCTATATGCTTAGCTGTAAATTATGCATTTACATACACATTTCATTAATAAGTTATCGAATATTTGTGAAATGTTTTAACTAAAACACAATTTCTAGAAAGCCATATATCTTAGAAGCGTTAACAGTATTGGTGCATGATTTAACCTGTGAAACATTGGGCATGTCCTGGGAAAAACCATGCATGCTAACTGTAGGATTGATGACACATGGATAAATTTATTTCCAACACCAAGGTGCCTGTTTTTAACAGAAAGAATGCAGTAGAGAACCTCTTTGAAAGTAATCAGTGTGGGAAAACTTACAACTGGATTCCAAACAGTACTGTGCTACAGACAAATCCTTCAGAAGTAAATCCTTTGGAATGCTGTGAGTACGGATTCAAGCATCCTAACAGAGCTCACACTGGATGCAATCCCTGTGAGTGTGAGGAATGTCCCTGCCACCTCACCACTCCTACGAGAACTCTAAATGGGAAGAAACCCCACAAATATAAGGTATGTGGGGAAGAGATCACTTATGTCTCCATGCTTAAGAATCCTGTGACAACACTCACTGGTGAGAAATGCTATGAATGCAGTGAATGTGGGAAACATTTCTGTAGTTTCTCACCCTTTTGGACACATATGAGAAGCCATGAATGTAAAGACTCTAGTACGACATACAGTGACCCATCTTCACTTATTTTGCATAAAAAAATCCCCAGCAGACATATACCTTACGAATGTGAGAAAACCTTTAGTGAGGCCTCATCCCTTACGAAACATATCAGAACTTACACCGAAGAGAGGCCTTTTGAATGTAAGGAATGTGGGAAAGCCTTTTGGCATCTTTCAGTTCTCTCGAAACATTTAAGAATTCACAGTGGAGAAAGGCCTTATGAGTGTAAGGAATGTGGGAAGGCCTTTAGTCAAGCCTCATCCCTCACAAGACACATAAGAACACACAGTGGAGAGAGGCCTTATGAATGTAAGCATTGTGGGAGAGCCTTTAGTGACTCCTCAGCCCTCACTAGACACGTAAGAACTCACAGCGGAATTAGGCCTTACGAATGTAAGGAATGTGGAAAATCATTTAGACAGCTCTCCACTCTCACTGAACATATAAGGACTCACAGTGGAGAGAGACCTTATAAATGTAAGGAATGTGGGAAGGCTTTTATTCATGCCTCTTCCCTCACTGAACACATAAGAACTCACAGTGGGGAGAGACCGTATAAGTGTAAGGAATGTGGGAAAGCCTTTACTCATGCCTCCTCCCTCACTGAACATTCAAGAACTCACAGTGGAGAGAGACCTTATGAATGTAAAGAGTGTGGGAGAGCCTTTCGTCAAGCCTCATCCCTCATTAAGCATATAAGAACTCACAGTGGAGAGAGGCCCTACGTGTGTAAGGAATGTGGGAAAGCCTTTAGTCAAGCCTCATCCCTCATTAAACATATTAGGACACATACTGGAGAGAGGCCCTATGAATGCAAGGATTGTGGGCTAGCCTTTACTCACGCCTCTTCCCTCACTAGACATAAACGAATTCACAGTAGAGAGAGGCCTTATGCATGTAACGAATGTGGTCAGTTTTTTAGACAGCTCTCATATCTCACTGAGCGTATAACTCAAACGGGAGAGAGGCTTTATACATGTAAGGAATGTGAGAAAGCATTGACTCATGCCTCGGCCTTCACTGAAGACACAGAACTTTACAGTGAAGAAGCCTTATAAATGTAGCGCATGTAGGAAAGCTTTTGGTTCCCCTCACACCTAGCCTAAGATTAAGGTGGTGTTTTGTTTTTCAATTCATCAAAACTAACCATTTTTATTCCGTTTTCCATGGCCTTTTTGAAGCCCCTTCATATAAAAAGTTCACAATGAAAAGAATACCATCCCCAAAGTGGGGTGTTTCTTACCTAATGCTATCATTTCAATCCATACATTTTTAAAATTTAGGATTAAGCAACTAAGTTTCTCACTGAGTCGGTCAACAATAGTAACTCAAAGAGGTCATTAGAACAACTATTCCCTTTGGAAGAAATGATAGATTGGTTTTTAACAATGAAATTGTGCTCATCGATATGTGTTATTTTTTCAGCCCAATCCAAGCCTTTCATAAAGTCTTTGGCTATTGTAAAGGAGACTGCAAGGAATATGCTTGGGAAAATGTGGCTTCTGTTATTTAATGTTTGCTACTGTTACATTGCATATAATAAAGTCGCTGGTTTTGTATCTGGTTTGAGTTTTTGTTTTGTTTTCGTGTGTGCTCCATTACTGTATAGTTAATCCTTTACCCTGTGTAATTAACCTTCCGAGGGTTATACTTTGAAACTGCAGATGCTTTGGTCTTTCATCTTATTTTAGGCCTATTCATTTTACTACTCGTAAATAATTAGTCGTATGATTAATATTCCACAACAAGCTATGGAGAACATTGAGATTAGGAATTCAAGAACAGTTGATAGTGCTGATACGGGACTTGTACATAAACTTTGCAGTTCTTTGAACAGAAAAAGAGACTACTACATGATTTAAAATCAGGAAAGGTGTTTGGAATCAAAGTTGTATTTTTTCAAAGTACTTATCAATCTATGCTGAACAAATAATCCAAAAAGCTGAACTCTTTGGAGAAGAATGCAGCATCAGCATTAGAGGAAGGCTTACTAGCAACTTCTCATATGCAGATGGCACGGCCTTGCTTGCTGGAAGCAAAGAGTTTGTAAAGCACTTGCTGATGAAAATCAAAGACTGCAGCCTGCGCTCTAGATTGCAACTCAGTGTAAAGGAAAGAAAACCCTCACCATGAGACTGGAAAGCAGTTTTCAAGATAAATAGAGGAAGGGTTGAGCTTTGCGAATATTTTCTTTTCCTTGGATCTGCAGTCAGTGCTGGACGTAATCACAAGTGTGAGCATGGTGCAGTACTGGCCTGCGTTCTGTTCACACAGGGTGGCTGAATTGAAACTGACCCAGCAGCACTGAACAACAGGATTAATATCGCTGTCATCTTACTAAATATTTTGAATCCTAATATTTCGTTTGCGCCCATTGTTCCACATTTGGTATTAGGTGCTCCCTGAAATTGCGGTTCTGTTGGGTGCTGTCAAGTGAGTAGTAACTCAACACAGACCCTATGGCATCATAAAGAGTATGGCTCGATCCTGTGCCATACTCCCAATTATTGCTGTGTTTGAGCCCGTTTTTCCATCCACAATCTCAAAGGAACCCTGGTGGCATAATGGGTTTTACATAGAGCTGCTAACCACAAGGTGAGCAGTTCGAACCTACCAGCTGCTCCAAGGGAGAAAGATGAAGCTATCTCCTCCAATAAAGATTTACAGCTTTGGAAACCTAAAAGATGACTTCTGATTTGTCATATAACGTCACTATGCTTCAGAATCAATCAACTCGATAGAAGTGAGTTTTATATCAGTTTATTTCATTGAGGGTCTTCCTCGTTTTCAAAAATCCTTACTTCCCCCAACTTGATGTTCTCCAGGGACTGGTCTCTCTTGATAATATGCTCAGAGTACATGAGATAAGTCTTCACCAGAATTGCTTCTAAGGAGTATTCTGTCTGAACTCCTCCTCTTACAGCGTTTGCTTTTTCCAGCAATTTGTGGTACATTCAATATTCTTTGCTGGCACCATAATTCATATGCATGGATTCTTCTCTGATCTCCCTTATTCATTGTCTAGCTTTCACGTACATGTGAGGAGATTGAAACTGTTGTGGCCTGAGTCAGACCCCTGTGGCCCTAGATTTCCCTTGAGACTGCCCTGTTGTAATCTCAAGAGATAGCCACCATAGCCTTCTTGAAGCACTTGTTTGATGATAAAGACCAAGCACTGCCACCCTCTACTAGTATGGATTGTGACTCAATGTAAAGAAAGCTAAAGCCCTCACAACTGAACCAAACACATCATGATAAATGAAGTAAGGATTGCATCTTGTGTGGGTCCACAGTCAACAGTCATGCAGGTAGCAGTCAGAGATCAAATGATGCATTTCACTGAGTAAATCTGCACAAGGCGACGGTGTCAGGTGCGTCCTATGGCTCCTGACCCATCCTGACCCTAGCACAGCAGAACAGAACACTGCTCGGTCCTGCACCGCCCTCTCAGTTGTACCTGAACTTGAGCCCAGTGTTACAGCCACTGTGTCAATTCATCTAACGGAGGGTCTTCCTCTCTCGTTGCCCCTGTACTTTATCAAGCACTATGCCCTTTTTCAGGGACTTGTCTCTCGAACAGTATGTCCAAAGACCTCCTTAAAGTGTTGAAAAGCAAGGATGTTACTTTGAAGATGAAAGTGTGCCTAACTCGAGCCAGTGTATTTTCAGTGGCCTCAGAGGATGTGAAAGTTGGACATTGAATATGGAACACTGAAGCATCGATGCATTTGAATTATGGTGCCGGCAAAGAATATAGACAGTACGGGGGCTTTCCAGAAGAACAAATAAATCTGTGTTGGAAAAAGGAAGTCCAGAATGCTCCTTGGAAGCAAAGACAGCAGACTTCATATCAGGTACCTTGGACATGTTTCCAGGAGAGACTATTATCTAGAAAAAGACATTATACCTAGTAGAGTGGGGGGACAGCTAAAAATAAGGAAGACGCTCAATGAGATGGAGTGACACAGTGATTGCAACAAGGGGCTCAAACTTAACAACGGGGAGGATAGTGCAATGTTGTGTTCTGCTATCCACTGGGTCGACAGTGAGTCTGAACTGACTTGACAACACCTGGCAACATAGTCCTCTGAGCCGATGACTCCGCCTCACATTCAACAGGACAAGAAGATCCCCTTGGGAGCTCTCCGGGTTACATTGGTATATCCAAGATTCATCTCTAATTACAATTTGTTCCACAGAGTTGTACTAGTTAGCATCTATTTTGTTTCAGCTCTTTCAGCCAGCTGAACTTCACACAATGCTTTTGGCACCCATCAAACCAAAAGGTTGCTGCAGCCAAGATGTTTACTTATGTGTGAAATGCTAAACCATGTGAGATAGCTTCAGTAGCTACCGTGTCAGTGGTAGTTCTACATGTTCCTGTTCTTTTCGTTTGTGTGTTCAACAGTTTTATTGGCACTGCATCCACATGTCATACAATTAACTAATGAGGTCATATCAAGAAGAACTGTACAGGTATCTCCATGAAACATTTTCTTTCTTTTACTCATTGTTATTCATGTAATTTCTAAATTGTGGCAAAAATATACACAACAAAACATTCTCCAATTCAACAACTTCTACATGTACAATTCAATGCCATTGATTATACTCTTCATGTTGTACAACCATTATTGATAGCCTTTTCCAAATTATTCTCCCACCATTAATAGAAACTTCAGTTCCCCGTAAGCAACAAGCAACTCTTTCTCCTTCACCCATGGTAACCATTGGTCAAATGTGATTTCCTTTTTTAATTTAAGTAGTTTCCTCGATGTAATATTCACATATATACTTTCATATTTTAATTGCTTTTTTAAAGAGTTATATATACATCAGCACAATCAGTTCTAATGTTCCTAATCCCCTTCCCCTCCCCACCCTCACATCCCTGATAAACCATTGCATCAGGTTTTGTCTGTATGTAGCCACTCCTGTGCTCACAAACTCGGATCCCAACTAAAACAGTAAAAAAACAAAACAAGAAGAAAATATTAATATAAAGATTAAAATAAGGAGTAAGAAGAAAAGACCGCCGTCAATTTTTACAAAGCCTAAGAAGAAAGTTCTTTCCTACAACAAGCGAGAAATACTTGAGCCAACAGCAAATTCAGGTTGGGTAAGAGGGAGGTCAACTGACCTTATACCATGGTTGTGGGGTGAAGGGGATAGGGGTCCCCCACAAATCATCACAGACCCAGTAGGCACAATTGTACAGCGATAATAAGTACGGATTATAGTAAAGTCATAGAGAGCATGAGAGAGGAGTGATTGGAATAAATGGAGTCAGACACAATTCATGGTAGCATTGCTCACCTCAGCCCCGCTTTATGGTTCTCATGGGGGGAACCCGGCATGAGAGGAGAGACCCTCGGGGTCCGAGACCCAGGGAGCCTCTCCTGGCCCAAGAGCCAGAGAGGGCCCCAGGAATCGTGGAGAGCCTTTTTTCTTTATTGCTAACCAAGCATTATATCACTTTAGGGGGACATGATTATAGAATCACACGTCACAGGAAGGGGCAGTACAATAGGCATACAAATTGTAGGAAGGGGATCTGTGACAGGCATAAGCGTAACAGGAAGGGATGAGCTAGGGGTGTGCCCATAGGAATGGGAAGGTCTAGGGGTACACATGTGACAAGATGGGCAGGCCCTAGATTCATGATGGCAGCCTAATCTTGGTCATCCTTGGGCAGGTTTGACCTCTCTGGTGTCCCCTACAAGGAAACATACTATCCTTATCAGAAGGGTGTGGGCCCTACTTGTGGGATAAACAGTGGTGTCTGCTTGGTCTAGACAGCTGATAACTCTCAGGGAGAATGACCCCAATCCACTCCTTATGACCTCCAAGTGTACAGTCATTCTCAAGCAGCTAAGTCTGGCATATATTTGGGGAGACAACTTGGGAGAAATCCTTCTGTTTCCCACACACGGTTTGATCCACTACAATCAAGTTTACAATAATCTCTGACAGTAGAGCCATGTCTACAGGGAATCTGCCAGGGGCTTACTCAGACTCGGTAGTCTGCAGGTGGGATTGGGCTTCCACTGTCCTCCATAGCCTTTTCAGGTTGAGTGTACAGAACTTAAGCTCTGATACTTTTCGTCCTACTTGGATTTTGTCACCATCATCTTTGGAGCACACAGGCTGGTGTGCTTCTTCGCTGTGGACTTAGTTGGCGCCTCACTTAGAGGACTGCTTATTGGAATGCAATGCTGTAAGACCCCAGACACTATTCCAGTTGATAACCAGGCATCATATTTTTTCTTCACCACACTTTACTGTCGCACTCTTATCTTCAGTGATCTCACCATGAAGGCAAATATCGAGCAGGGCCCCATCATAAGACCTAGGTGTTCTTGGATTGGGGGCTAGAATGAAGGAATCCAGAATCCCCCCCGCTTGTTCACCAGTTGATGGGCTTCAGCCACAGTTTCTCTGTTCAGAGAGGTTGATGGTTTCCCCTTGTTTCATCTTTAAGGTCTTCCTGACCTTCCTAAAAATGCAAGAATCATCTGCAAATTGTTTTACATGGGCCAGCATAACCTGTAAGCAAGTTGCAAA